GAGCAACTACCGATGCTGAGCATTCAAAAATCAAGGAAGCGATCAAAGGCATGTCTGGTCCAAGTCTAGGGCACGGTGCCAGGGCGACGCCCGCAAGGTTTAAGCATCTTTCTACGGAGAGAGCCGACAGTGCGCGATTCGCAAGCAATGGCGTCCAAAAGAGTGGCGCGAGTAAAATACACGTCTCCGCTGGCTATTAGAGTACACTGCAAGAGATTTCCAAAACATAAGCTGTGTGGGTGGTGCTGACGATAGACTCTTGGCGTGTCAGTTTTTGGAATGCCGCCAAGCGATGCCCAGACGCACTTGAAGCAAATACAGGTACGGTGGCAAAGATTAGTGGCAACAGCCCACAGCTTGGCAAGAAGGGGCTGGAAGTCATACAGTGATGCTGCATTACTTGGGCTCCGGTCGCGATGCAAAGGTAATTCTATGATGACGGTGGTGGTAGTGGTTCACGGTGAGCCGTGTCTAAGTCGCTGTTTGGCGTTGAAATAAGGTCGTCCGGGAACATCGGTTATGCTCGGGGGCGTTTATCTCCGCGGAGAATAGCAAGAGGCAGGAAAGACAAAATACATGGTCACTACAATGTGCGGCAATGTTTACTATCAAGCCTTCACGTTACCAAGCATTCAGTACCAAAATTCGGTAACCTCTCTGCCAGGCCCTACCCCAGGTTCCGCCACTGAGGTGAGCATGAGCTACTTTTAAGCGAGTTCACAGATACAACTTCCGAGATGCATGTGTTTTAGCAAGACGTCGGTATTGATACAAGAGCGTCAACCTTGGTCGACGAAGGAGAGGGATGGCTAGGACAATGGGCTAGTGGGCGCTGGGTCGTGGGCCGACGACGGGGTAATTTTTTTTTTCTGCATCCTCGCTGGCCGTAATTGCAGGCTCAGCGAGCGACGAGCACGAGCGACTTCCCTGGCGATATTGCCCCAGCGCCCCTTAGAAGGCCAAGCGGAACGGGCGTGCGTGATGTTCTGGCTGCGCGTCCTTGCGTAAATAGTGCGATGAGTGCCTGAACTGAAACGTCGTGTCCCGCCAACCAGGTCCAAAAAAATTTAAGCATAAAGCGAAGCGTAGATCCATGACACGTGGATCAGGCCAGCCGAGGAACACGGGAAGCATGAGCCAATCTAGCTCATCTAGCAGAGTCGCGTTGCATATCGAAATAACTCCCTTGACAGATGACTGTTCATTATTTGAACAGTGAAGATAATTGTCTATAGTGCGTTTGTCTGAGCCGTTCAGACACGGCTCGTCAGTTGCATGGAGTTGAAGCATACAAGTGTGCTATTATTTGCCTATAAATGAAGCGGCGTCGGAAATGGGCATATACCAAGGCACTTCACACAGTAGTGCCTTAGGCGACCACCACTTTTTATTTTTTCGTTTTTTTCAAAACCGCTGGCCTGCATACTCGCTCCCGGCTGGGAAAGGAGTAGAGCGAATTCGACAATATTCACCATTTCAAGGGCACGTAACTAGTGTATCTCTCACGAAGAACCTCTCGCAACGGTGCTGATTCCCACTGGGCCTAGCTGTTGAAGTCCTCGAGATAGCAATTGCCCTTCGGCCGGGAAGGAAAGTCGGAATGTAAAGAAGTGACATTGAAAATGAAAAATCGGAACAATAGCGAATCAGTGCAGATGCTGAAAGTCGATAGCTGCTGTGATGAATATGTGCGTACCAATAGATCGGGACGCCCCGGGAGGTTCCGCAGCGCACGATGCCCCTTCCACTGTCGCGAATTGTAGGTTGGCATACTTCGTACAAGGTTGGTGCTTGCCTTTCACAATTTTCATGGCCAAGATATCGGCTTGGCTAGCCAGTCTGTGTGGCGCCGACATTTGGGATCTTATAGTTCCATGGCCTGGGTCAGCTCATGGAACGTAGAATGTCACGCCTACCACCAGTCCAGCCCCTGACCTAGGCCGCACCCGAAGCTTCGCTACGCCTGCTGAAACTGTTGGTCGTTCAAGTGATCTCCTTCTTCCTCAGCTAAGTACTAAACCAAACCGTCAAGGGTGTCGCGGGTTTCTAACATAATAATGTTAGTGGGGTGTATTTTGGAAGCTGCCGAGAGAGCCAGAAATAGCGGTTCTGATTTACCCCGCCAGGTAACTAAATTTAACTAAAAGCACTAGCGACACCCATAACGGTTTTTACGGTACATTGGGGCCAGGTGACTTCTTGCAGATGGCTTCTTCCTAGCGGGCGAGCTCTCTGGGAGAACGGCACCGTTCTTGCGAAGTGAACGACCTAATCAGTGTTTCAACTGCCAAGGAATAGCAAACCACAAAGCATACCAGTGCAACAAGCCTCGGGTGTGTGGTCGGTGTGCGTAGGAAGGCCATCACAGCACTTGCACGTCAGCAATCCCGAAATGCATACCGTGTGGTGGACCTTACGAGTCATTTAGTAAAACCTGTCAGAAGCTTTACCCTTATAGATATAAATAAGCCGCTTTAACTTATTTAGCTAAATATGCGGAAATAAGGCAAGGTGTATAATAGCTTAATAAATAATAAAGAGCTTAAAGACGTAGTAGTGATAGTGATTTAGGAACTATAGGCGCGGCTAATAAAGGGCTGGTTACTAACTACCCCGATAAGTTATTATAAATGGACGAAGATAGTGCCATCGGTTTAGAAGGAAGAAGGTAGATGGGCTATTAGAAGTATACTGTGGGTTATAAAGGACCTGATGTAGAGCAAGTCCTAGTCGAGTTGTCAGATATGATAGCGGCACTTGTGCGTATCTTAGACCGGGTGCTTCTGGTGGTCTTAGTGTATGTGGAAGGTCTTGACGGGCACGCACTGGTTGGCACGTGTAATGTACTGAGCAAGTTGATTTAGGATGCTAGGCATAAGGAAGGAGGTGTCGATATGGCGATTATGGGGGACTTTAATCGACACGATTAGCTATGGGGAGGAGACGATGTGTCTATGGTGAGATAAGGCGAAGGGAATGCGATTATAAATCTGATAAACAAGTTCTTATTATGTAGTTTACTGCTGTGGGGCATAAAGACTTAGTAAGGGGGCGAATATAAGTTGATAATTAACCTTATCCTTACTTTAGACGAGTTAGCTAATAAAGTAATCTGGTATAGAATCTATAGAACTGAATATAGTTCTAACCACCACATAATCAACACAGTATTTAACGCCACAGTTCTATTTCTTAAGTAACCTAAGCGTCTCCTATTTAAGAACACACTATAGAAGAAAATAAATAAAAGGATTATAGAGAAACTAGAGAAGTTACTAGTGGAAGGGACGGTATAATAAAGAACTAATAAATTAATAAGTGTTATACTAGAAGTTATTTATACACTTACTCTAAGAGCGAAGCCATCTCTATATATAAAGCAATAGTAGATATTAGATCTTACTTAATTACGCTAGGTATATACACACTAGCATAATAAGGCGAGGTTAGTTGTTAAGCCACGGGGCATCCAGTACTAACGTCCTTATGGACGTAAGTGACTGGTGACTTGTCACTTCAGACAAGTCCTCTGCTCTAGACCGAAATCAGTCAACAGATTCGCAATACTCTACGAGCACTATTTTACTAGCAAGTATGCAGTTAGAAATAGTGTGTAGATTGATGTTTTTTTCTCTGCTAGCTAGACTTTTTAGGCTACTTATATGTTACTATACTTTGCACGTGAGTGTTGTCGGTTATGACAACAGGTGTGCTAGTATAGACGTAACATTAGCAAGGCGAGCCGGCTATATTATAATATAACTTAAAGCTATAGCTAAGGCAGCGGCAAAATAATATTATAATACTATTAGGTAGTAGAAAAAGTCCTATTAGGATAAATTTCTGGCTAATAACGACAATATCTAGAAGGCGGCTAAGTATCTTAAGTTAGGCGATGAGTCAGCCTTCGGTAAGGTACCGTAACTTGTATAGGCTGATAACATAATAATAACTACTATTAAGGAATAGGCTAAGGAGCTTCTCTTAACCTTCTTCTTACCCTTACTAGATAAAATTAAGGATAAAGTAGAAGAGTTATAGCGGGGACTAGTACCTATGCCGGAAATTATAATAGAAGAGGTTAAGAGGTAGTTATATAGAGTAAAGTTATAGAAAGCGCCTAGGGAAGATGGGTTACTGGTGGTAGTATAGAAGGAGATCTAGCCGTCTATTAGGAATAGGGTTCTAAGTCTTTTTTAAGTATTACTAGATAAAGGAGTTCTACTAGATTAATAGAGACACACTAAGATTATACTATTAAAAAAGCTAGGGAAAGAGAACTATATAATAGTGAAGATATAGAGACTAATCTTACTACTAAGTACGTTAGGGAAGATTCTAGAGGTAGTAATTATAGAGAGGATCTTATATATAGTTAAAACGTTTAGCCTACTACCTACTAACCACTTCAGAGCCTATAAGTAATAATTAGCGGAATAGGTATTATTACTCTTATAAGAGTAGATATATAATATATAGAGGGGAAGATAAGTGGTTAGTCTAATAAGTTTTAATATAAAAGGAGCCTATAATAGAGTGTGTAAAGAACGATTATTATAGAGGATAAGAGCTAGAGGAATACCTAAGAAGCTAATATAATAGATTAAAGTATTATACTCTAATTAAATAGCCACGATTCTAGTAAACGGGCATTAGTCTAATACCCGCACACTTAACTAGGCAGGACTCCCTCCTTACTAGATGGAGCGTGTGAATTCTGGTCTCCTGACCCGGGCGACTTATGCGTGGGTGCCTGGGTGAGCAGCTTTGTGGCGTCGCGCGACCTGCGCGACCTGCGCGACCTACGAAATCCAGCAACCTGATTGCAGCATTGAGTATACCGAGCATGCATTATTGATAAGCTGACTTGGGCAACCGCTAAAATGCAGAAATCTCCTACTAGCTATAAGAAGGGCTACTTGATCGGTATGCCTCTGCATTTCTTGTCCTCCCTTTCTCTCTTCATCTTATGTCTTTTCTTTGTCTTCACTGTATGCGAGAGACTGCCAATAGCTATGGGCACCAGAAAAAACCCGACCGATATCATCAACCGGGCCCAGTCCAATGGCTTCAAAAGCGGTCTACATCACGAGGAGGACAAGAAGACAGGCCTACAAGAGTACGATGAAAAAACTTTGGGCGCACAAGACCAAGTTCTTGAAAAATACGCCATGTAAGTTCTTCGCCTCTTATCAATGATCGCATACTAATATCCAGCAGTTGGGCCTTTAAATACCTAAACAACAAACTTGTCACGGTCTTTGAGGAGTTTGAAGCGATGCTACTTTGTAAGGACGCATCGTTACCAGAAATACACCACCTCAAAGACTTTTGGCGATTTTATAAAGATCAGGCTCGAGGCAGGTTGAGTGAACGCCCAACAGCCCGTAGCCTGAAGGCCAGCGCGAAGAGCTTCAACGGCGGTTTCAAACGACGTACTGGTAACAGTGTGCCTGCTGAAACTATCGCGGAAATCAATTTGGTACGTATCCTACCACTTTTTTTTGCTGTAGCCACTGACAATCTAGTTAGTGGATAGGAGGACCGCTCACATCCGAAGAGGGAAGCGGCGTGACAAATATCGAACGGCCCAAATACAACTACAAGCCGCAAGATCTAGACCGCAACCTCAAAGCACTCTGGAGCCGGAGCGACATTGGTGTCCGACATGAGCGAGAGAGATTCCAGTTTCACTTTCTTCTCCTCCTATTCTGCGATACCGGAGCTCGACGCGAGGGTCTTTTCAAGGCGGGCATACCGTATAAAGTAAGCCTGTTGTTTGTCTTGACTACCGTTTACTAACTGAAAAGGATATTCACCTAGTTCTAGAAAGACAAGACGGTGTTCCTCGATTTTTTTTTCAGGTTGCCCAGCGCACAGTTAAGAACAACAAGGATCCTAAGAATAGGCGGTGAGTATCCAGGTAAAGATGAGAATCATAAGCTAACAGATTCAGGTTCGGCGTTACCGGAAGAGAGCACCGACTCTTGCGCTACAACGCGGTGTTTTTACTTCTCCATTTTGCCATTGCTGATGGCGCGTTAGACCATGACTTCTTCACCCAAATCCTCAACGGCAAGGGCGATGGATCTATTGAATGGAAAGAAGCTGCCCTTGAGCTTCCCGTTTGCCGAAGTGTGGACAGAAACGGTTGCCTCACGTCTGAAGCGATGACTTTCGCTGTCTTTGAGCGTGTGTTGAAGAAAGTCTTCATGGGCGAATACAATTTCGATCGAGCTTCAATGCACATGATACGGAGAGAATTAGGAAAACAACTAGACAGTGAGCACCAAACCGTCTGATAATAGCTGGACTTCGCACTCATTACTCCAACAGACAGATACACCGCGACGGAAAGATCGCAGCATGTGCTACATAATGATAACCGAATTTTCGGCCAAAGCTATGTAGCATTCGCTTCATCGTGCGACGGTCTTGCAGCCTTTATGCGAGAGACTGCCGATCATACCGCCGTGGAATACTTTCAGGGTCTGCATCGCTTTCATCAACCAGGTATGCCCGTTAGGCTTCCTGCCGCCCTGTTGGCGAAAGTGGAGACCAGCGCAGAACTGGCCGAATACGACAATAAAATACATTCTGCTGTTAGTCCAAATGCAAGAACTGAGGCACAGAGGGCTCGCAAAAACGCTGTCAAACGACTGCGCAAGAAAACGCTTCAGGAGTACCGAGAAGAATGCTTGAAAACGCTGCGAAAAGATCGTCTTATAAACGGCTGCCACGCGGCGAATGACACCCTCGATCCTCTCAACGAGGTGTTTCCGGAGAAACGGCGCGTAAGCGAAGCGATGACTAGCGATTTAGAGGAATTCTCAGTCATGGAAGACGCATTACGGTTGCTGACAATGTCTTCCGAGAAGTACCATCGAGCTTGTGAAGCTCCACATAATGGATTGTGTCCTTACTGCCATATAGATGTTTCACGGTAAGTGACATCGACTTTCGGTACCGATAAAGCTAATTCGAATTTCAGTCTCGCACGGCGTAACCTTCATATCCACCATTGCCGAAGGGACAAAGTGGCTCGTGAACTAGGCGTCCTTTTCTCTACGCTGACTTTTTGTTACTTCTGCAACGAATTCTACACTCCGACAGAATGGGAGCAAGATTGCCGGAGACATTTGTCAGCTCCCGTTGTTCACTGCGGTTCTTTAACGTATCGGCACACCTTAGTCCGTCCTGCGTTCTGCTTACTTTGCACGCAGTCTAATGACTTGGCAGCAGCCGAGCGATTGCAATGTTGGGAGAGGGACGTCAAAGCACTGGACCACATTGATCGATCCCACGGCTGGCACTGGACTTGCTTACATTGCAACTTTGTCTCAGATAGCAAAGAATCCGGCCGCAACCATCTGCATGATGCTCACGGCTACCAGTTTCGCCGACCGAAAGCAGGCCTGACGGTGCCTAGGGCGATTGGCCATAAGATATCAATGGATGAGCTTTCTACCGACATGAATTGCGGCCAGGGTGCTGAGAGTCTTGAAATGCTTGCCGGCCGCGGTGATTCCTCGCCCGATCATGCGCCAGAAGAAAAAGCAGAGATGGCAGAGCTGACTCTACATGATGGGTTTTTGGAAACGAACTTCGACGTACGGACGTCAGATCCTTACACTCCGCCTCTAGAGTGGTCAGAAACCTCGGATGACGTCGTGGAGAGGCTTATGGACGAATGTTTATTATTGCCTCCGACGCCGCCATCTGAGCTTACTGGGTCGGAACAATCATACCCTGAAGACTATTTGATGATAAATCCTGTTGACTATAAAGCACCTTACTATCTGCTTTCGACTCAGCTCGACACGAACGACACGAAAAGCAAAGGAATTGATCATCCTCTAGAAACGGCGGAAATGGAATGGGTGCACCACTCCGAGGCGAATTGCACTCAATTAGAAGAGCAGCCACTGTACCCTCCAGAACCGCCTAAGCGCCAACAGTTAATTATCGAGCTGAGGTCGGTCAGCACACGCGAGGATTACGAAAGCTTCGAGAATTTGTCTTCGACGAATGACAAAGAGCAAATCCTGCCGCAGACTGGCAAAAAGCGGTTCCGACAGAGACTGAACTCCTTTTCTAGCTCTCCAGGCTCCAGACCGAAGAAGGTCCGATCGCGAAAGCCAGGTTTAAGCCATCAAGTAACTCGCCGCGTGCGGATCAGGTTCACCCCTGACGAAGATCGACTTCTCCTAAAATTGAAGGATGACCCGACCCTCACTTGGAAAAAGATACACGAGCTCTTCAGCATTGAATTTCCTAGTCGGCGCTCTCTGGGGGCATTGCAAGTGCATTATACCACAAAACTGCAATAGCCTTTTTTATGACTGTAGATTGTTGTCGCAGTACCTTGTCTTTGTTAGCATTTAATTGAAATATGAAACGATATATTTTTTATGTTTTAATGGGAACTGTAGCTATGTTTCTCAGGAGGGCACCGCCTATGGAAGTGTATGTAAGTTCTGGCGTAGATGGATAGGGACGTGTCGGGGACTCTTGGCGTGTGCTAGCAATTTGTATAACCCTTCTAGATTAAAAGAATCTTAATTGCGTTGTAAACAAACTGAACCGAACTGTATCAGGCGTGATATGGAGCTAAGCTATTCTACATATATTTTAACGTAAGGCCTGAATAATAGACTCCAGTGCAGATTGAACAAAAGAATCATCATAACACCTCCCGTCTCCGCTCACACAAACATTCCAGTACCCTTCAAATGGCTCTGCAAAGACATATAGTGTGTCACTAAATAAATACTCTTCTTGAACCGTGGTAACATTCACCGATTTGAAACACAACGATGAGGGCCGTGTTGTGATCCACGATGTCTCCTTGACGTCTTGAAATTGTATCATGGCGCCGAACTTCCAGGGGTCATCCGAAGTGGTGCACATTTGCGCGATATCCCTAAATTGCGCCATTTCGTGTGAACGGCTTTCCGTGCATTGCGCTTGTATTTGACGACAAGTAGCAGCGAAATCATGGCTTTGAGAGGCTTGATACCTGACTGGAATAATGTTGACACAAGGACCATAGACGTCATGCAACGACGGGTGCAAAGTTGATCTGCCCGTGACGAGTAGACCGAAGACAATATCGTGACTGGCCGAGATGTGACTGAATGCGTAGGCGCAGGCCGTCGTGAACAATGATACAGCGGTCACACCAACTGGGCAGCACGGCGCCGGAATCCTGCGAGAAGCCAGTGCATGTCGCGAGGTGTATGTTTGTTCAAGCTTACTTGAGCCCACGCGCGAAAACTTTGTGGGACGGGATTGCAAAAGCATGTTACGCCAGTACCGCAAAGCTTCGTCTTTGACAAGGGAACCTTGATACAAGCAAGATGAAAAGGCAGGCTGTGGCTGCACTTGATTTGTGCCGTGGCGGAATGCTTCATCGAGTTTGCTTGCGAGCAATTGGAGACTGACACCATCATACTGCGCATGCGAAACACGCAGAACCAGTCTCGTCAGCTCATCTCCTTGAATGATGAAAAAATGCGTGAAGAAGCCACCAAGGTCGGTTACGGTATGGTGACTCTTCAAGGCAACTTCATCACAAGCTCCATTAATATCGTCCCCCTCAGCATTTACCACCGTGATAGGTGCGAGGAGGCCCTGCAAGACGGCCTGGAAATATAGGTCTCTGTAGTGAAGAAAGACAGAGCGCAAACAGTCGATAGACTGAAATACTGCCGTAAAGAGAGCAACTAAGTACTGAGTGTCGAAACCGAAAGGAATATCCGCATAAAAATGATAACACCGGCTCGTAGGCTGCTTCAGACAGTATTCCTGAAAGTCAGTGACAGGAAACACATCCTCTATAAAAGCATCAGCGGAGCCATGCAGTTTCTGAACGACAGATTGTGCCGCCGAGAGCAAAGCGTCTCGGTCAAAGGAGGCTGAAACCATGGACAGCGGGGTATAAGAGTGAAAAGAAGTATAGTCGCCGTGGGGAATATTGCGAGCGAGGTCCTCCAGCGTCGGCTGCCGAAACACCTCCGCCACTGTCAACGACAAGCCCTCTTCCCGCGCCGCCGCTACCAGCCGCATCGCTCCGATCGAGTCGCCGGAGATCCGCAGGAAGCTGTCGTCTAAACCGATACTGTTCGCGTCGATGCCCAGCACCCGCGCCCACAGCCTCTGTATATGCTTCTCCTTCTCCGTCGTCGGCGCCCGACGCGAAACCCGCGACGGGTTCATTGCCGCCAGCTGCTGCAGCGTCATCGCCTCGCCTATCGCCCGCAGCCGCCGGCGGTCCTTCTTGCCTGTCGCCGTTATAGGAATTTCATCGATAGTAATATACGCCGTCGGGATTATATACGCCGGCACAGACCGGCCTAGCCTGTCCTCTATGCCGCCGCACAGTCGCCAAATAGCGGCTATCGCATTACTATCGGCCTCGCCTTCGAACGCGATAAATGCAGTGAGTACCTTCTTATTGCCGCCCGCCGGCATCACCGCCTCTACTACTATGCTTAGTCGGCCCATATCCGCTTCACTACCCGCTCCTTCTTTAATAGCAAGATAACGCAGCACATGATGCTTAATTTCCCCAAGTTCCACCCGCTGCCTGTTGATCTTAACCTGCGCATCCTTGCGCCCTACAAACTGCAGCGTCCCGTCCGGGTTGTAGTACACTAGATCGCCCGTCTTATACAGCCGGCCTTTTCGCCCTGACACGCTAGGCCCGCCGCGGACTAGCCACGCCGGGTCCTCGATGAAGGCCGCCGCCGTCTTCTCCGGGTCGTTGAGGTATCCCTGACCGACCAACTGCCCTTCGAGCAGCAGCTCCCCAACGCAACCCACGGGCAAAAGACATTCATGATCGACAGCCTTTACAATCCAGGTGTTTTGACCTATACCCCGGCCGATAGACGGCAAACTGGTCGAATTTGGGTTCATAAGCATTATTGTTGCGATGATCGTACACTCCGCTGGCCCATACACGTTGAGCAAGCACCTCAGTGATTTCCATCGCTCAATGGTATCAATATTCAGGGCTTCTCCACTGAACACTCCGTGTTGTAGGCTGCAAATGTCATCAACTCGAATTGTATCCGCAAAGGACGGTGTGATGTCAGCATACGAGACTCGAAGACTAATCATAGACGTTGTTGCATCGTTACGCCAATCATCTTCGCTAGGCACACAGAGACAGCCACCTGCGAACAAAGTAAAGCACAGTATGCCCCATGCGGCATCGAATGCGTAAGAAGCAGCGTCGAAGACTCGAGACGAGGCAGTAAAGCGCAACTCATCTCGCTGGTGCCAAAGAGCACTGCAGACGTTGGCGTGGGAGATGACAACTCCTTTAGGCTTCCCCGAACTGCCAGATGTGTAGACAACATAGAGTCGATCGAATGGGCTTATGTCGGGCAGCTGCGCTGCGGATGCAACTTCATCTCGACAGGCCGCGAGCAGTGGCGAAACTGTATCGACGAGTACGATGGCCGCCTCCGCCTTCAGCCGGCCTGCAAGCGGGGCTCTGGCTGCTGTCGACAGCATCGTCGTCGCCGACACCTGCCGCACGATCGTCCGCAACCGCTCCTCCGCCAACGTCGCGTCCAGGAGCACCGATGCCGCTCCCGCTCGCATCACTCCCATAATCGCAACTGTCGTCCACTTCGACTTCTCAAAACACAGCGGCAAAATGTCCCCCCTCTTTACACCGAGCCCGACAAGGTGCCGCGCCAGCCGCATTGACAGATCGTCCAGCTCCCCATAAGTAAAATCGCCGTCCCACGCGCACACGGCCGGCGCGTCTGGCTGTCGTCGCATTGTCTCCCCGATCATGTTGTGCACGCACCGGTCCACTGTCCTCGGCACCGCCGCGTTCCACCTCCAGATGTCGTCCATGTCCGTGTCGCTCACGGCATCGAGCACGGACGCGACAAGCGCAGTCGATGCCGAGGCACACAACTGTGTGAGAATGTGCTGCAGCTGCAACGCGAGCCGAGACACCCGCTCTTCACCGATCACGCTTGAGTCGTGGCTTAGTCGGATCTGTATTCCATCGCCTCCTGGAGTCGCGATGACCGACAGCGCGTAATTTGTGAACGCATCAGCCCCTCCAACACCGCCCTCGTCAGCCTCAGCAGCAGCCATATTGTAGTCAAACAAATCTGTTGCCTCATCCTGCCCAGCCATGTCCTCTGCTGGCTGAATTACCAGCAGAGTCTGGAACTCGCTGCCACGCGCCACCTCTCGACTTACCCTCCGGATTGCCTGCAGGCCCGTCTGCTCGTACGCCACCATCTCCGTCGCCTGGTCCTGCACCTGCCGTAGTAGATCGCCCACAGTCGCCCCGCGGTCTAGTTTTACGACGACAGGCACCGTCGCAATTGTCGGCCCCGCCATCCGCTCAATGCCCGTCACAGGCGGCCCGAGACAGTCGCACCAAACACGGCCTCACTGCTGTTCGTGTACTGCGCCGACACAATCGCCCATGCCGCTCGAATAGTCGTAGATGGCGTTATATTGTCGTCGCGCCATCGGACATCGGTTATTGCATGATCCATAGTTTCGTCTGCCTGCGGCTGATGCGAAGTAAATGGCAATGCTGGGAACACAACCGCCTCCGAGCCCGCTAGCTGGCTTTCCCAGTATGCCATCACATCGTCACGTTGGACACTGCCAACGTGCTTGACAAAGCGCTGGAACGGTGTCGCCAACGCTACCGGTACATTGTGGTAAGCATCTGAGATTGCCTTGTACAGTATCGGCGTTGACCACCCGTCGTAGAGCGCGTGGTGTAGCGTCCAGGTGAAGAGCCATCTGCTCTTCTCCTCTGTACCGTCGTGCCAGGCTTGTGCTTCGCGTTGAATGTGGTATGCTTGAAGACGTGCCCCTAGTTTCATTTCGCCCGCGTCGTCCTCCCCAACAGCAGCTTCTGTAGTCGTCACAACTTGGACAAGTCCTTGCCCAGGCAGATCCACAACTCGCGTGCGCAGAATGGGCATCGTCGCAATCGTGGCCCGCATGGCCTGCTCAAGTCGCTCCGGTTCCACATCTTGTCTTAGTAAAAACTCCTGCCGCGAAACGTAGTCACCCTCTCTCCTCGCCGTCATCGCCAGCAGACCCTCCTGCATCGGTGTGCAGGGAAACACGTCCTCCACTTGTGACGCCTTGATCCCGCACAGCTGTGCGACAATCTCGTACGTCGCCTGCGTCCTGTACTTCCCACCAAGAAGCGATAGGGGCGGAACCAAGTCTTCCACATCTCCATTGTCGAGTTGGCAAGCGGCAGGAGCAAGATCTACCAGAGTCGGCTGCCGGAACACGTCCGCCACTGTCAGCGACAAGCCCTCCTCCCGTGCCGCCGCTACTAGCCGCATCGCCCCGATTGAGTCGCCACCGATCCACAGGAAGCTGTCATCCAAACCGATGCTGTCTGCGTCGATGCCCAGCACCCGCGCCCACAGCCTCTGCAAAAGCTTCTCCTTCTCCGTCGTCGGTGCCCGCCGCCGCTTAGCGCGCGACGGGTTCGTCGCTGCCAGCTGCTCCAGCGTCATCGCCTCGCCCATCGCCCGCAGCCGCCGGCGGTCCGTCTTTCCCGTCGCCGTCATAGGAATTTCTTTGATAGCAATGTACGCCGTCGGGATCATGTACGCTGGCATAGACCGGCCTAGCCTGTCCTCTATGCCGCCGCACAGTCGCCAAATAGCGGCTATCGCATTGCGATCGGCCTTAGCTTCGACCACGACAAAGGCGGCGAGCACCTTCTTCGAGCCGCCCGCCGGCATCACTGCCTCTACCACCGGGCTCGGCTGGCCCCTATCTACTCCTTCTTCAACGGCAAGACAACGCTGTACTTGGTGCTCAATCTCCCTAAGCTCCACCCGCTGCCCGTTGATCTTAACCTGCGCATCCTTGCGCCCTACAAACTGCAGCGTCCCGTCCGGGTTGTAGTACACTAGATCGCCCGTCTTATACAGCCGGCCTTTTCGCCCCGACACGCCAGGCCCGCCGCGGACCAGCCACGCCGGGTCCTCGATGAAGGCCACCGCCGTCTTCTATGGGTCGTTGAGGTATCCCTGGCCGACCAGCGGTCCCTCTAGTAGCAGTTCTCCAGTACTGCCGAATGGCACGAGCACGTTGTGCTCGCTCGGGCTGACAACCCAAGTATTGAGCCCAAGTCCTGTGCCAATGGCTGGTGCGCCGGCACTATCGCATGTCCTGCCGAAACCGATGGTGCTCGTGATCGTACACTCAGCAGGGCCATAAGTGATTAAAACCTTCGCCATGCGTTGCCACTGCGTCATGTCCGTCTTTGCTACTGTTTCTCCGATTAAATTGATTGTCAGCATTACATCAATCTTCTTTGGGTCGAGTAGGCGCGCAACCGATGGCGTGATATGCGCATAGTTGGCCGCTAGTTTCCGCATAGATCCTTCGACATCTTCCTTGCGATCGCTTTCTCGCGGAACGCAAATGCATCCGCCAGCATAGAGCACATGAAGTACGTTCGACCATGCCACATCAAACGCGTACGAAACAAAGTCGTAGACACGTGAGTGAGAATCCATCCCCAGAGCGCATTGCTGATGGTGGAAAGCACTCGCAATGTTGCCGTGGGACACAATAGCGCCTTTCGGTGTGCCCGTGCTGCCCGACGTGAAGACCACGTATAGAGTGTCCGATGGCCGTACAGTAGGCAGTTCGGCAGCAGCCCTATTCAGCTTTGAGAAAGTATCTGGGCTGACAACGAAAACACTCTTATCGCCCAACCGCCCGGCAAGATCCCGCGATGTCTCCGATGTAAGAATCATGTTCGCTGTCGTCTGTCGTGCGATGCTCTTCAGCCGCTCCTCCGGCAGCGTCGCGTCCAGTAGCACTGATGCCGCTCCCGCTCGCATCACTCCCATAATCGCAACCGTCGTCCACTTCGACTTCTCAAAACACAGCGGCACAATGCCCCCTCTCTTCACCCCCACCCCGACAAGGTGCCGCGCCAGCCCCATCGAGAGCTCGTCCAGCTCCCCATAAGTAAAATCGCCGTCCCACGCGCACATGGCCGGCGCGTCTGGCTGCCGCCGCATTGTCTCTCCGATCATGTCGTGCACGCACTGCTGCACCGTCTCCGGCACCGTCGCGTTCCGATCCCAGATATCGCGCAGTCCAAGTTCGTTGTTGTCAACTTGCTTGTCCTCTTTCGCGCTCGTATACGCGTCCGAAACCTCACTGAACGGATGGCTGTTCTCCTCGCCGTTGTCTCCGATAGATGAAGTGCTTTCATTCTCCACGCCAAAAGGTGTGACCTCCTCGCTGATTTTACTAACACCTGAGTTGACAATTGAAGGCATGTTTGCCGAGATTTCTCACGACGATGGTTTTAAGAAAAGAGCTTTTCTACAAGGTTGATCGTGACTCTCTTCGTTGAAGTTTGTTGGTATCGTCTCCCCGAACTTTTTCAACTCGCGACTTCTGACATATTACAAATCCCATTACATGTTTTCACTGGTGGCTGAGTGTTTCGCCACCCTGTAGTTCGCAATGCTGTTGCTAAAAATTCGGTGACATGTCGAAGAGACATGTTTCACCATCAACAGAGCTTTTTGAGGCAGCCGCGAGCGGCACAATGTTGACAAGTCAGCTCCGACCGATGTCTCAAACTGCCTTATACGGCCATGTACCTCCGCGGCTTGTATTCTATCTAGTGGTTGGCGTGGTCGCCGCCGTTATACTATCGTCGCGTCGTCAGTAAGAGCACAGGCATAACGTTGCGGGCCGCCGAATGTTCTCGGGAAGGATGGCGTAGCTGTGAAGCGCATACAACACACGAGTCGAACTTTAGCTCTTGCGTCATAGGGTGCAGAGATATTGTCTGAGTTGTGGACCAATAAAGTCATGCCGCGTAAGAGCATGTCAATGAGTCCCAGTTAAACGCGACAGCAGGCACTGCGCAGTAGTCTAAATATAAAATGGTCAATCTACCCACTTTGCAGGGGGTTGGTATTTACGAGGTGTCAAATTGGTTACTTGTCATTGTGTAGAAAGCGCGCTGCCTCAAGATGATCAAACAAGAACCGAGGCCACGTTTCGTTGTTATGTCCTAATTACAGCTCAGAACTGCTTGTGGTGCCTAGGAATGGTATTTTTCTTAGTACCGTATAAGCTTAGCAGCTTTTTTCCTTAATTTCTGTTTCTTTGTTTGGTCACTTGCCTGGCTGCCGCGGGATGTCTCGGCCAGCTCGGACTGCTTTTCTAGAAAGCGATGACGACGTGAAGAGACATGTCTCGTTTGAAACGAGGCTACGTAGCAATGCACTCGGTGGCAATAGCAAGCCATTGCAATTACGCAGCGAGACATGCTGCTTTAGGCTCTAACCTACATGACTTCAGAATCAATCGTTCTGGTCACGAAAGGATCGCTGCTAACACTCGTTGTGTACTCAGTAAGCCAAGACTGTTGAGTGAGTGCGGGCCGGTGACTTTATCTTGGTATGACAAAACAGAGGCCGAGGATTGGGGAACGGAGCAAGGCGAGAAGACTTTCCTATCCCACCTTCGTTCGGTGCCCGACGCCTTGGCTGCCCACTTCGGCCGAACCGAACAGCGCTTGACCTTCCGCCGCAAGACATGGCGGACATGGAGTCACACTGTCTTTTCTGAGCTGTACAAGAAAGTGGGTAAATTGCTTTTTTGGGTTGATCAAAAAGTTATTTGGGTTTCAATAATCACGTACTTTGGCCGCAACGGATACACACAAATCGTTCGAACATTACGTCTAGCACGGTAGTACCATGTGTGACGCTTCGGCAACCAATTGGAGGAATACGCAGGACATCGCAGCTTCTGGCTGATTGACGTTCTCCAATGCAATGCATCGGAAGGTCCAGGGCAAAGTTTGAGCTGAAAAAGCAGGTGAT